CTGCCGTCAATGCTCACAAAAGCAGAATCCCATACTTTGAAAATCGCTCCCAATCCCACGTCGTTGTCTCGCCAATCCAACCAGATTGACCGCTGGACGGTAAAAAAGCTTAGTGAATAGATGGCGTAGGACACGGAACCGCTGTTCCCCACCACGCGCAGCACGCTGTGATTCGACACGCTAAAGATTTGCTTCTGATACAAGAAGCTTGTCCCGGAGTCCATCGTATTGTTGAGCAGCGCAAAAACAGAGCGATCACTGACACTGAGGATTTTCACGTAAAACAGGTGTTCGTACCCATCAAGGCTGCAGTACCGCGCGTAAAACGAGCTGCCGCCCACCAGCGTCAGTGTCCCAATAGAGTACAAACCAAACGCAACGTAACCAAATGCACACGCTTTGACGTTGCTGACCAGCAGCGAGGACACACTCAACACGACGTCCCTCAGCATCATAACGCTCCACAAGTTGTTCACAGATTCCAGCAACTGTACCGCGGAGGACTGTACCGCGTCAACCTCCGTGACGGCGATGTCGCAGTGCTGCGGGAGGGCGAGTGCAAAAATAACGACAGAGGACCGCATCACCGTCTGGCTCACGCGGATCAGGACGCCGGCTGACTCGACCGCCTCAGCACCCCCAACAAACTGCAGCGCAGCACCCTCGTGGAATGTGCACCCAGTGAGCGTGATGTTGATGGGGAGATGCAGCGGCATACTGTTAAGGGAGAACGTCAGCACAGCTCCCACGCCGCTGAATGTCACACCCACGTAGCAGTGGTGCGTCTTCCACATGTTCAGCGTGAGGTTCTTCAGCGTCTGGTTCACCACGCAGCTCGTGTCGCCGTCGACGGCTCTCTCCGGCAAGGGCGGCACAACCGTGTCGGGCACCTCGAAGGGAAGACACGACGCGCCATGCCATCCGTCCTTGCAGCTGCACGAGCACGAGCCGCGATCCACCGACTCCGTCCCGGGCATGTAGCACGCCGCGTCGTCGTTGCATGTGCCGCACCCAAACACCACCACGCCCTCCGGAAACACGCCGTCGTACAACACCTCCTCATCGCCCTGCAGGTTGCACCCAACGACCAACCGCGCGGGTGAAACCACAATCATGTTCGACAGAGCCATTTTAACAAAAGGACAGCTATCGTCCACCAGACGGTTGTGTGCAAGTGCCACGGCAGTGCCGCTGCCCAACAGCCTCATTTTGTACAGGGATTTTGGCATACCCATTACTGAGGCTGCACTTACGTTGTTGCCCTCCACACGCCACTGCGCACCATCCTCGAGTGTCACCAAGCCGTCCAAATGCACCAGCGCAGGTTCAAAAAACAGTGTGATGCCAGCAAAGGTACAGTCCGCCACTCGCAACAGCCCAGCGGAGCTTACGATGATGTCCCCATAAAAATGAATGCCACTAACTGCGCTCATCGTGTTGTTCTCCACGTCAAAGTAGCCGTCGTTCTTTAAAATAGCAGATTCAAAAAAAACAGCGGATTCCAACGGAAATTCCTCCTCCGCCCCCCTCAGCGTATTTCCCTTCATAATGATCCCGCCACCATCAACAACAACAAAGGATAAACGGACTGCGTAACTTTCCCCTTCAATGAGGTTGTCGAGCAACAGCAGCGTCGAGTTCGCACCAAGAGAAAACCTCTGGAATTGAACGGCGTGGCGAGACCTCATCAAAAGCGTACTGCCAACCACCAGTATCTGGGAGGTCGCGCCAAAATCACCCTCAAACTCCAATGCACCAGAATCCAGCATCGAGGATGTCACGTTCACGTGCACGCATGCACCACTCCCCCTGATCGACAGGCCCATAAGGACGCACTGCAGCAGCGTGATGTTGAGTGTCTGCTCTGGTGCGGCAAAATACAACAGGTCCAGCACGATCGCGGCGGTGAAGGTCACGTTGACGAAGCACAGACCACGCACACCGGGATCAAGATAGTTCACAGAGCTGATGCTGCCACCGTGCACGCAGCGGACCTCCGTGTCCTTCGCATCTGAGAGCGGGAGCGGCCCAAGGCCGTCCGGAACCGCAGCTTGCAGACACGTGTCACCGTAGCCGCCAGCAGCGCACACACACTCACAGCCGCGGATGCTGCTCGTCCTCGCAGCAAAGCACACGGCGTCCACGGTGCACGCACCACAGTCCAGTGCCGTCACGGGTGCTCCGATATTGAGGTCGTCTTGGTAATTCGTCACAGGAGATCTCTTTACCTTGTTGCACACGCCGTAGATGATCGGGCGAGAGTCGGATGGTGGCGACCAGTTGCTGATCATGTATGTTAAGACCGAGTAAAAGCCGTATTTAAAGCTGTTGTCAATTATCGACCACACACTCCGATCGCGGAACACCACGCCGTTCTCGTTGGCTACGTACACAACGTAGGCGGTGCGGAACTCGTTGTCGCGATGCACCAGCCAGCTTCCACCAGTCACAGTCAGCGTGGTTGCCATGAGCATGGCAAAGCCGAGACGGAACTCGCTGGACACAACCTGCAGCACGCTGCCGCCATCCACCGCAACGTCCCCAAACACACACGCACCTTCGTAGAAGCCAATGCTCGGCGCACTCCAAGAGCTGTTCTGTATGGAGAACACGGAGCCGCCGCTGACACGCAGGTCCGACGCAAGAGCGTACATCACGTGCGACTGCGACAGGACAGCACAGTTGTCCATGTAGAAGACGCTGGACAGGTTCGCCACGAGGTCGCGCTCCACAAGGATCGCAGCGCACGAACCCCCGCCACACACCAGCGTAGACCGCGTCATGACAAACCGCGTCGACAGAAGCCGGACACCGTCCAGGACAAGCGCGGGGCCGTACCGGGACCCCGCATGGCCACGGGTCGTCGGCACGTACTGCGACCCGCCAACCGTCGCGCGCAGCGTTGAGTTCGCCAGCAGCACACTCGAGTGCAGCGGCATCGTGCCATGCAGCACAATCGTGCCCTCCAGCGACGTCACATTCGTCATGTTGACGAGGGCGTGCGGAACCAGGCGCGCCGTGCTCTCGCTGAGGCCGCCAATCCGCAGCTGCGCGCCGCCCACAAGCACACAGTGGCGCAGCGTCACGTTCAGCGCGTCAGCGGACAAGTCCATCGAGCGCAGGTCCACCGCCACAGTGATCGGCCCGCTGAACACCACCGAGTCGAAGCACGCCGTCGCACGCCCGCCGCCAACCGTCACGGACTCCGTCAGCGTCACGCCACTCACGCAGTCCTGCGCACCGCCGCCGCCGGCCCTCGCAGGCGGCACGTCGAACGGCAGGCACGCGTCGCCCACACCGCCGGCGCGGCAGCTGCACACGCAGTCGGAGAACGACGCCGTCAGCGCATCGAAGCACGCCAGCGCTGCCGCACAGCCGTCGCACGGCACCACGCTCACGGAGGGCAGGCCGGCCATGCGGTAGTCGCCGCTGCTCTGCAGCACGCGGCCGCCCGCACGGTTGCACTGCACGGACACAGCGCCGCTCGTGATCGTCAGCCCGGAGACAAGCGTCGCGCCGGTGGCAGCGCAGCGAGCAATCGACACGGCGCCGCCGCTCAGCGTCACACCCGACAGCGACGCCACAGACGACGCCTCGCCCACCGCCCACACGTCGCGCAGCTCCAGCCACCCGCCGACACCGACCGTCCCACCGTCGCAGCGCACCAGCGACGACGCGACAGACCCCTCGACGCCCACGAAGCGCAGCACCGAATCAAACACCGCGAGGCGCTCGCCAAGCACAATGCCGCCGCCGCTGCTCACTACCGACACGTTCGTCACGGAGAACACCGAGTGGCTCCGCAGACTGAGACGCGACGAGGACGCCACATGCATCGCGGACGCGGTCGAACCGCCCGACGCCTCCAGCAACACGCCGTCAAGCACCACCGCGCTCGACAGCAGGTCCACACCGCCGCCAACGTACACCGCCGACCCGCCCGCCTGCAACGACCTCAGCACAGTGCTGCTCACACGCAGCTGCGTCTGCAACAGCGACGTCGCGTGCAGCACAAGCGGCGACGCCACCGCGTCCGCCGGCCCGCTCAGCTGGGAGTAGCGCATCGGTCCCGGCGTCACAATCGTCGAGTCACGGACCGTCACGTTCGTGCGTGCCGGCAGGTTGTGCACAAACACGAGCGAGCAGTAGCTCCCCGACTGCCCGCTCACGCTCACCTCCAGGCTCCGGTCACTCGCCGGCTCGCCGCTGTAGCCCCGCACGTAGATCTGCGCACCGCCGTCGCACACGCAGTTCCTCACTTCGATGCGCAGCGCGCCGGGAAGCATCGCCGCAACGTCGAACACCACAGCCACGCCGTTCGTGATGCACACGCCGTCCATCAGCACCGTGTCCACGGCGCGGCCCACCGTGATGGCTCTGTCCACCGTGCTGCCCCGCAGTCGCAACGCCACCGCATGCACCGCGGGCATCCACGCCGCCGCCGCAACCAGCGCCAACAGAACAAGCAGCGCCACACGCACAGTCGCAATGGCCCTGCGCCGCACGCGGTGCCGGCTGTGCGGACACGCACCTTCCGCAGACCGCATCCACCGACACAAACAGGTACCAATAAAGCTGTCGTGGCGTGTCGCACTCGCCCCGTCCACCATAACTCTTGTTTAGCAAAATCCCTTCTACAGATGGCAAATACAGAGACACAATTCCTATATATCGCTATCCCACTAATTCTGCTAATCCTAATACAGCAATTAATAATTAACACCTTGAAACGATAGTTGTGCTGGTGAAGCCAAAGTAACTCTAAATGCTCGGTCAGAGGAGAAGGAAAAAGCAGGAACAACAGCAAATAAACACAGTGGCACGCAGAAGCATCCGGCCACAGCCCGACCGCCAACATACAGACAAGAACACGCGCAGATGCAATCACAACAGTGACATCATCGCCTTCCCTCATCGAACAGCACCGAACTAAATCACGTCGTGGATACTTTGTGAATTAGCGGCAATGGGGCAGCGTACACGGAACGGCATCAAAATTCCATCCTATAATTGCTAAAATTTATGTTTCTCGTACTTGTTGGCAACAACACTAAAAATACCACAGAAGAAAAAGCTTCCATCCTTCCTCAAAATCAAAAACACAAGAAAAAACCTCTCTACCCTCTCGCTTTCCACGGCCTGAGTGCCGCAAGAGGCTGTCAATAAGAACACGTGCGTGGAGGTCCCAAATGTGCGGGCGGGGTCGGCATCCACCCACACACCCGCGCTCCCTCCACTCTCCCCCACACGGGGGCGGTGCCATGCGGGAAAGAAGTCCGCCACACGACGCATGCAAAAAGCACTCGGTGAAGCAACACCACCCATGTCGCACCACAACAAAGAGCCATGCGCTCAGCACAGACCCACGGCCGCAACGAGAGGAACGGGGCGCATCCAAGTCCACGGCAATGTCCTTTACTTCTCTCTTCCCCGACAAATTGAAATTGCACCCCACAACAGGTTGTGGCGGGTGGCGTCCCACACCTACGGTGACGCACGGCGCAAACCTTCCGCGCCCCTCCGAGTGCACTCAGCAGGCCGGGGCAGGGCGCCCCGTCATCCTCGTGTCATCGCAAAGGGGAACAAAAACAATCGTCGTCGCTGGCCACCGGCGCCTCTAGCAGGGAAGATGAAAGAATGGGGGCATTTCAACAGCAAAGCCGACAGAGGGACATCCAACGGGACAAAAAGACACGAAGAGACAGTGGGAACAAAACATACTAAAACGAGCGAAGGGATTTACAAAAAACAAAACACAATTAATAAAGGGCAGAAAAAGAATGACGGTCCAGCAAAAACACAAAAGAAAAAGTGATCAGGCAATACTTCGATTTCGTGCACCAAGCAACAAAAAACGACCGTGCGTTTGGGTACACACACATTGCCCACGCCAAAGAAAAGTAACAAGAAAAAGATTGTACTTTTCCACGAGACCACACAACGCCCCTCACATTACATGTGGCACACGATCTGCTCCTCCGCTCCTCCTTTTGTGCAGTCCGTGGGAATCACAGGAATGAGTCCGGCACAGCGTGTGGGCAACAGAAGCAAACAGGAAGAAGAGGGCGCGCCACACATGAGGACGTGTGTGAATGATCAAAGAAATTTCACAAAAGCAAGAATTCAATGGATAAACAAACACAAGCATAAAAAAAAAAATTACTCTTCGGAAGGCAATGGAATTGGAAGTGGTGCTGCGGATGTGTTCCAACGATTGCAGCACCCCCACACTCTCCCAGACCCCAACAGAAAGCCGCAGTGCCCCAAAGCCCCAAAAGCGGGAGCAAAAACACCCGAGACACACACCCATGCACGGTGCTGTCACCCCTTAAATCCCTCGCCCTCAAGTTATCGCTGCTCTCGGAATAAGAAGAAACGCTGTCAGAAATGGCCTCACTGCCAGCTCACCCACTCCTCAGGCAGCGCTGGTAACGGCTCCATCTTTGGCCCTTCCGGCCCTTTTGATTCTCCCCAAGCAAGAGTACTAGACACTGGCACAACGTTGAAGTGGCCGGCTGCGCCAGGGTGCAATGTACTTCCGGAATTCTTCCCTACTCAAGGGTCGGTTGTACAGAAAGACGTTTTTCGCCGTCACACGCCTCTCACTCCGTGTGTCGTCTGCGCTGCCTCCATCCCCTTCAATGCTAAAGCGTCCGATCTCCTGTGAATTCCTTCCAGTCGCTGATGTCGATGTTGAATTCTTGAAACGCTGGCCAGTAGTGTAGACAGAGACCCGACTACCACTCCAAGGCATAATCGCCACCTGCCATTCCTTACCCAGTCCCAAAGTGATTCCGTTTGTATCCTTCTTTCCGTTGAACATTGTTTCCCACCTCATTTCATGTGTTTGCGACTGTTCAAGAAATGCAGCGCTGCCTGTTTCATTTATCCCCACACCCATGAAAAAGATGGTGCCGCAAGATGGTGAAAACCTGTAAATAGACATCGCCTCCACAAAATGTGAACCCGTTCATTGCAAGGCACTACATCCGATTCTTCCCCCGATTAACAACGGACCGCTACGCCCAAAAACCAACGCCCTTGGAAGCCGATCCACTGGAAAACCTTTCTTCCACAGCTGCCCCACCCGTCTCCGTAGCGTTCAGCCCCCAAGTCCCTCTTCCCTCCATGTAGTCTCGGATAATTTGCCGGACAAACATCCAACCAGCCCGGCTGGAGGCATGAAAGTGTCGCAGCCCTCGACAGACAGAAGATTTTTCTTGACATTTGAGTAAGAGCAGAACTGGAAGACACAAATGCACAGCTCCCTCAAAGCCCTCACCAAATTCTTCACTCTTTTCAGCTTCGCAGTCAGGCACATAGACAAAGGGCTGCGTGCCCATTCCCCATCGTCCTTCTTCCCGCACAGTAAAATCAACTCTTCATCATCCTCGCCTTCACCGCCTTCGTAAAAAAGGGAGCTGTCGGCAGCAGCATGCACATTACGGGATGCCAGCCAAATACCCACAATGTGAACATTGTCTGCCAGCCAGAGAGAAGGCCGACCCTTTTCCTTTTCGCTCGCTTTATAACACACCGGTAGGGTAACGCGCAGAACATTTCCTTCTCCAATCGCCGCAGTCGCGAAGCCGCTCAGAACGCCTTTCCCCTGTCCATCATGCCAGTTGGCCCACAGGCGGGCAATTGAGTGTCCCCAGAGGCTCCGCCCACGCCTCCCCATTTTCACTGGACGCGTCCACCCTGTGGCCGCCATCGGACGCAGTGATCATGCAAAGATCTCCACCTTCCCACACCACGACAAGGGGATCACTTCACCCCTCAGCAGATATCGCCCTCGACAGCATTTATTTCCCAAGCTTTGCCAAGCACGCGATCGGTGGGGCGGGATTTCCCCAACACTCACAGTTTTTACAGGGAACACCAATCCTCCTTCAGCGTCATCAACAGCAGCGGCTACGCCGCCAATAATTTGTGTCAGAGATCTTTTTTTAAGCTGTTCTTAGCGCAAAGCTCCAAGGACGGTTGTCTTCGCAAGGTGATTTTCTTAATTCCTTTATTTCACTGCTTGTCTCCGTGAAATTCACCAACAACCAGCAGTGGTTCGCGGCACCTCCTCCGTTCGACTGCTCATTCCAGGCGTATTTATTGCCGTGGTCTCCCACAAGAAAAACTACCTGATTGCAATGGAGCAATCGCAGTAGGGCTCAGGGCACAAGAAACTGGAATAAATCCGGTTATGGAAGTCGACAGTTTTTTCCTCCAATCCTTCCCATCATATTCACTGGCAATACCGGCCACCCCGGCGTAGTGCCTGGGTCAATTACCCGTATTGTCGGGGGAAGCCAGCAATGCTTCCCTCACAGAATTTTTGATGCTGGTGCAGGGCTGATGGCAGCAACCAGCGCACGGGCCAGCCGCGTATTGCCGGGCACATTACAACATCACGAGGTCTGGAGGCACGCGTTGGCGTGCCGTCAGCACTGCCATCCGTACTGTGTCAGTGCTAAAAGGAGATGTGGAAGAGAATCCCCGCCCCTTTCCGCAGGAGTTACGGTGAAGCGCTGCGGGTCTCACTCTGGCAAAACGCTTGGCGCTGAGCGTGATGTTGTATGACAAAAACGCGTTGTTCGCGCGTTGGGTGTGAAGAAGATGTCCCCACCCTGAAACCACTGGTTCCAGCCCGCCAGGGTTCCAGCACCATGGAACTGCTTGCATCTGTCCAGGCGGCGGCGTGTCCATTCTCGTCCGTGAGGGGCTGCGGGCGGGAGCAGGACCGGCCCTTGTCGCCGGCATCGAGCTTGCGCAAGCGACCAGCCACCCAGAGGCAGGAATAAAACTGACGGTGTCGTCGGCGTATCTCCTTCCCTCCTCTGCCAAGAGTATAAAGGTGGAGGAGTCGGATGGGCAGCTCTGCGAGGACGGGCCACAACTAATAGGGCAAAGACACCAACGCACACAGCGAGGCTTGGGAACGCAGCATCCCATCAGGCTCCCGTGGCGATATCTTTGCGCAGCGGTGCATTGAGAATGTACCCCAGTTCATCAACGCCGGAGAGCGCACGAGGTACACCGAACAACAGAGCAGTTTAACATCCGACATCGCCCTGCCTGAAGACTGTGTCGTCGCCCACTGGGGAGCACAGCCCTCACCGGACAGTGATCCCTGCATGACCCTCCTTGATGCTCTTATCGGAGACGACGCACCCGCAGTGGTTCCGAGGCCTAACCGGAAATAATTAAAATGGAAGAAGGCAGATTGGAATAAGTAAAGCGGGAATACCAAACAACTCGGCAGAATCCCGCAAGAATTAAACAAAATGAACGGCACAGAGAAGCACATTGCATCCGGAATACAGAAATCCACCAAGGCAACTGTCCAGGCAGGAAACCGCCAGTCGTCCCCCACTCTGGACCCCAGAGCTGGCGGAGCCGGACTGCGACATCGCCGCCGCACCCCACGCAGAACGCAGTGAGCGGCTCAAACTCCGTCACAGAGATGTGCTGCACGAAGTACCCAAAAGCCGCTGGCGCACGCTCCTCTCCAAACTCGAGTCCGCGGACGGTAACAGCCGGCAGATAGTACGCCGTGCGTATGCCACTCGCTCCCTGAGCATGCCAGCCATGAAAACAGATGGCCCAATGCTCAGCA